CACTATTATCGTGATGTCTATATGAATTAATCATACTGTAACATTTTAAATATTATCATGATACACTGCTTAAATGTTTACCCTCTTGTCTATGCAAATTATATTTTCTGTTGTGTTTTCTCTGTTTAGTATGCATTAATATTTTTTGAAAGTAATATTTGTCTTGTAAATGAATAATTGTGACTGACAAAATATGAAAATAATACGTGACATTTGATTATAATCAAGCTTTTTGTGGAATTTAATGGAAAAAACGGATGTAGTCAAATACTTTTCATTTTATTTTGGCAGTGTATGAGTATTGATTTATATGTTTTTTGTAATTACCATTTGAATCATGAAACTTTTATGTATTTGATATGTATCACTAACATCTGTTTCAATAATGAAATCTTTAGTGATGATGTTCTCCAATGTGCATTGAATAGATGTTTCAATTAAAATTTGATTTTTTTCATGGTGAAAAAGCGTTTCTTTGAAATTTTATGTCTAAAAATTTAAACCTAAAAACGATTTGATAATTTTTCTATAACATCTAAAATAATCCGTCAATTACAAAAGGACTGGAAGGAAATGGAAAGCAAGGTTATTAAAATAAATTAATTATGCTTCAATACTTAACGAAATAAACGGACAATCACAAAATAAGCATCCCAGAAGGAAACAAAAAGCCTTGGACGTTGCCTCCAATCGAGAATGCAAAAGGAAGAGGCACTGCGGAGCGCAGAGCGCAGAGACTTCAACGCGCGTTAGACGACGAACTGCGAGGGCTGTGCGAGCGTCGCGCCAGGGGGCCGGGATCGTTGACCGCGAGCGGCCGCTGAGCGACTCGACGGGAGGCCTAACGGGGCTCAGCCGTCACCTCCGCACTCAAAACGACTTTTCGCGCCACAGATGACATCTAGGGGAGGCTCCATTGAGACATCGCGCCTTTGCGACTTGATTAACAGGCATGACTGTCAGATACTCAAACGGAGTGTTTGAATATAAAACATATATCTTATTTCAATAGAATATTGTGCCCTTTAGGACGTTTCTATATTAATATTTACAATAATGTTTCAATTATGAACATTTCATTTAAACTTTGCGAATATAATTACGTGTATGTATATTCTTCTTTGAACAATTATTTTTTTCTTTTATTGAAAACTTAGTGTTGTTTATTTTAAAATGACGTTGAATTCTTTAAAATGGATGAAGTATCCCCTCGTATCTCTAGTGCCGTATTCTTGGAAGAATATTTATGTCTAATTACCAGGGAATACAGAATGTTTCTTTAAAAAGTAAGAATTGAAGAGTATGATGAAATATCATGCAGCTTGGTATTTCCTTTCACTCCAAGATCAAATGTTGCAGTCGCTCATACCTTACACAGAAAGAAAACAAACAATTACGACGGCAACGAATGTGAGCGTGAGTGAAAATCCGCATCTGTGCATACTAAGGAGACATTTATAAATGAGATATAATGAAATATTAACATTTTTAAGCATACTAATAAAAATAAAAATCAAATATAATTAGACAGTAATTATAATTCATAGGAAGGAAAGAAATAATATTCTTGTGACGATTATTGTATTTAATATTGATATAACAATATTGAGAGAATTCATTAATAATTAACTTTTCACGTTCTTATAGACGTTTTGGAACTAGCTATTCTACTCAATGGTATTTTCAAAATTATTCAAACTCACTTTTATTATTAACAGCATTTCGTAATACTGACAAAAGGGATGATGATGCTATTGTAAATATTTACTTCAACAAGAATCATAATTCTGTAAGTCACTCTAAGAGTGTGAGTAGACCAATTAGAGAGGATAATGTGTGGAACTCTCTGACTAAAAATCCACACTAGTTTGCAGTCGTTTGTAGATTGTATAGTTAGTTTAAGAAAATGAAATTCCTTGAATTTTGCGACTTAAGTGAGTCAGCTCGATCGATAAAATAAATAAAATAAAAAAGTTAGTTGAATTCACTTCAAATGTGAATTTCCCGATCCTTTGCTAGGTCGGCTCCTGTTTATCATCCAGACTATCTTCAAGTGTTCGTGCGCTGTTTCAGTCGTACGAGTACGAGGATTACGAAGACCCGGAGGATCCCGAGGAGCACAAGCCGGAGCGGCCGCTGGGGTCCAGCTCGACGACGGAGGCAGGCGACAGCGACCGCGCCAACGCCACCACCGCGGCGCCGCCGGCCGCCTCCGACGGCGAGGGGTCGGCAGCGTCGCCGACGGTGCAGGCGTTGCAGGCGGACGTGGGCAGCACCCCTGCCAGCCCCGCCGGCGACGCCTCCTCGACAGCGTCTCCCCACTCTACCTCGTTCTCCCCGCCCTCGCAGAACCCCACCAACTCCCCGCCGCAACTCTCCACGCCCGCCCTGCCCGGCCGCCGCAAGTGCAACCCGGGCTTCTTCCGGGACCGCCTGGGCCGCTGTCGCCGGGTGCCCGCCGCCACGCTCGACTTCCCGTGAGTGTCGCTGCTGCTCTGATTCGCGCCACTTTTCCCACTGTGGCGCTCAAGTAGGCCTTACAACCATCCTCCTTGTTTTCTTATTCTAAATTGGGGATGCGCTGCTATTTAGTAAGCATGTGGCTATTGGCCAAGGCTATTAGCCTCTGAAGTGGATTGCATGTTACGTTCCTGGAGGTTGCGGTGCTCCTCCCTTGCTGTATTGTGAGATCCGGCGCCAACCTACATCTGGGCTTGCGAGTATCGTCCCTCCAGATATATTCCCCTGCGCACCAGCTGGAACAGGCTCTAAGATCCTGACTGATCTCCCGATGTGTGGTGGTATAATGCATGCAAATGTGTTTATGTCTGCGTTTGTGTAAAGGAAGAGGAGGGTAGAAGGTTGAGAAAGGGGTTCCGGGAATTCATCGGAGAAATCACGGAAAACTACCAATAAGAATATTGCTATTTAAAAAATAAGCATGTAACACGATAAAGGAATAATTTTTACAAGAATGCACATTTTTGAGACGTTATTGGTTTGAAGGATTTCTTAGGAAAATGTTTATTATTTACGTAATTCGACTAAATCAATCAATAAAAGATGTGACCACTTAAAATAATGTTCACAGATAAGATTTTAACAGATCCTTTTCTTTTTGTCAGAAAATTTAATTAATAAATGATGTGGTATCTTTAAGTGATTTACTGAAATATGAGTTTAACAGCTCTTTTCATTTTCATACTAAGCGGTCTTGGGCAGATGCCAACTTACGCCAGCAAACTTCCTCACTCATAAGTCTTTGTCCCATCGTTTCGGTGTACACCAGTGATATTTATTGTACTGTGAGATACTTTTAAGAATTTACTGACACAGAGGAACATCAGCAATATCTACATTCATTGTTTCTAATACATACAATGCTAATCAGATGATTATTTTCACGGTTTATTCATTGTAACCCGCGTATATAGAAATAATATCCACTGAAGGTGCGAAAATCTTATTATAATATTTGCTTACAAACTTGCTTAGAAAGAAAGGATCCAAATCACCCTTCGGCAAAATTGTCGACTCACCAGAGCAGAAAGCTGTTAATGAACCTCCATGAAGATTGTAAAACTCCTTAACCTTCCTGCCAATAGTACTCAATCAAGTACACTTCCACCTTTCTGTACGCGAAACACTACAGCTAACTATTTAATGTATTATATAATATTTTACACGGCAACACAGTGCATGCGGTATTGCACTTATGACTTCTTATTTTTAAAGTACAGTGATTAATCTAAAAAATTCACTTCGTATACTCAATATATATAATAATTATATCTCTTCTTCTCTACATAATAGTGGTTTGCGAGTCCTTGTCTATCTCGCAAGTCGGGTCTACCTCATAAATCATTGGGCACTTCTTTCCCACAGGTTCGGCTTCCGCGTGGCTCCGAAGCTGCGCAGAGAGAAGCCGAAGGCGCCGCCCGGCAGCTCCAGCTGAGCTCCTCGCCGCGCCGCGCCGCGGGCAGCGAGCGGCCTTCAGACAAGCCACTGGCGCTGGGATAACTCCGCCGTCACACACCTGATCGACGGCAGACTTGTCGAGCGCCGACGCAACGCTCTGGGGACTTTTGGGGTTGTGTCTTCCGAGTCCGTACTCCTCGCTCGTCGTCGTCGTCGCCTCGTCGACATGTGGAGGACGGCGACTGTGGACAGCTCATCGACGTTTGCTCAATCGCTTTTAGGATAAGAATTACGTTATAAATGTTCGTGCAGCTCAATAAATATACGATGGTGTTGTTTTTGTTTGTTTTATTTCCTAAGATTTCCCACATTCATCCCGATTTACTTAATTGTTCCCAACAAATCTAACACACGGGCAAAATACATTTCATGGCAAGGAAATTCTTGGTCTGTCACAGAACCACATATTGCCAAAGGCCACGTATTTCGTGTTAATGATAAACAAAAGTGAAAAGGGAATTTTATCGACAAATATACTTAAATTTACAAAAAAATTCTTTTAGATGTTGTATATAACAATTAAATTTCTAAATACAAATGTACTCTGATTACTGAAAATTATAAACATCTTTACATAAATAAAGAATTTCTGCTTGAGGACGATTAATATCTCCTCCTAAAAACATGATACTCCTAGAGGAAAATAAAAAAAAAACGTGATTGCCAGATCCAAACCGGATCAGCACGCGCGCGGGCGTGTGTTTTGTGTGCGTGTGTGTCTATATGCGCTCGCGCGCGCCGGTGTGTGTGTGGTGTTCTGCAGGCGCTCCACGCACAACCAAACTGGTTTTGGTTTCTTTTTCACTGTCAGGGGTACAAGCTGTGCACTCGGTCAGCACGGGAGTGGACTGTTGAGGAGGGGGAGGTGCAAAGAAGTCACTCTGGCGGGCAGGTGGACGTGCGAGCTGAAGGAAAACGGGTGGGGCCGCGAGCGACTTCGAGACGGCCTTCGCCTGGAGTAAAAAAGAAGTCGGTTGTTTCGCCCAGCGTTGTCTCGCCATACGACGGTCGCCGCCGCCCAAATGCTGTGGCTGCTCGTGTGGCTGGGAGCGGCTGCTCAGGTGCTCGCGCGCCCCTCGCGTGGGGAGGCGAATCCGCCTGCCTTCAGCAGTGACCGCGCCGGCAACTACTCTTTTCACATCGCCGTCGATCGCCTGGAAATTCAGAATGTCAATTTCAAGGTGCATCTGACAGTTTTTCTGGGTGGCTCTGCGGTAAGTAGATGGTTTTAATGCCATAGTTTTAAATTTATGTGAATGTTCTATTTTATGTGATTGTCGGTTTGGATCATTTCCGTTTTAAAACACCGTTCTTTACTTGTACTATCCAAAGTAAACATTCGATGAAAATCTTAAATCAAAGATGGATGGTTTTTCTGAACTTTGCAGTGTTACCAACTTCATATACCTTTAATGTTATCTCTTTGGGCTGTTAATTCTTTATGTGATCGGACAATCGAGTTGAATGCATTTAAATTATGCGATAGTTAATTCGTTTTTCCTAGAATTAAACTATTTATACAGTAACACAATGACTACGTATGAACTGTACGATATTTATTAACATTTACAAGAGTCGAAATGCATGTAAAATGTATATGCAACAAAGATTTAAAAGACAACGTGAAATGATATGCAATGTTATGTGCGCAATATTTTGTATTCCTGTCCGCACTATACTAATATTTACTATCTTTTACATATATCAGCAAACAACAAGATATAATTATAAACGCAGATAATTACAGCTATTCAGTGCTTCAGCTTTCCCATCTCATAATATACTCACAATTATATTTTTATGAGAGATTTAATAACTTTTCTTTGACATTCGTATGTTTTTATAAGCGTATAACCTAATTTTGATTGATGAGTTTCACGTCTTAATTAATACCATGAAAGTAACTTAAAAAATGAATAATATTTTAAAAATGCACTTAAACAAAATTACATTCTACAACTTGCAAAAATTAGAACTATTAACAGAAGCAGTGGTTTATGATTTTTTCCAAGTAGCCTCTACTCCATTTTGCTATGAATTCTCATAAACATTTTTTTGTTATTACCTGACCTCCAAAGTTGATTTATTTTCTATTATTTTAAAATTATATTTTCGGTCAAATTCACGTCTTTTGTATGATGTAAATTTGATGATTTTGATGATTAAAAAAGTATCCAAATTTATTTTTTGGCATACAAAGATTACGATTTTCATTACTTTTTAAATTAAATGAAAAATGCGATACTGTAGTTATGTAACAAGCAATCTTCTTTTCCTTGTGTATGTATGTACTTTGGCACAGCAGCTCTTGGCGAGCTAAGGTCTACCAGCAGTGTCCCGGCCTTGCGGTCATAGGCTAAGGGGTACGTGTGGTTAGCACATAGGCATCCCTACGCTGTATTTCTGGTATTCTCAACCTGAGAAGTGATATTTCTCATTGTCACACAGAAAAAGATCCTTGGACATTGCAAGGAAAGCGCGCAATTAATTTTTGCCCCGACAGGGAATCGAACCCTGGTTTGCGCCGTAAAAAAGCAAGCATGCTACGCAAGGAGCCACCTAGGACTGTCGTTACCTTGTGTGTCTTCTCAAATTATGAATTCGAATGACATAATTATACCAACAAAATCATCATCAATTAACAAAACAAAAGCATCATCAAACAATGGCATTCCAGTTTTTAATAACATAAGTTATTAATTATTTAGCCCTCCTAGTTTCATACATTTCTTAAATATACTGCTGATTTGTAGGTCGTCGTACGTTTATGATTCTCAAACTGTTACGATTGAATTATCACTAAATTCTTTCAGTAATCATTTCATTTGATTTCATTGCTTTATCTTCAAGTGAAATTATTCTCACGCTAGTATTTACTTACACTTTTTCTTCTCGTAGGCGAAGTTCAGGCACTGCTCACCATTCTCATTCCAAGAATATTCGCGGATAAGATCAGAAAGAATTTAGTTATATTTTGTTACGATTTTTTCTGATTATTTGGCTGCCAGTGTTAACAGATGTAATGCTATATTTAAGCGCTAACCAGTTTTTCAGTCTTTCGTTCTAGGAGTAAGAATTTCCCAAGTAATCTTCTCCCAAAGGCCAGAAAGATAATATCTTCATACATTTAAAAATATAATATTGTAAGAGTTATATAATAATAATAATAATAATAATAATAATAATAATAATTATAACAACAATGATAATGATGAGAAATAAACTCACACTTTCTTCAAAATATATCTTTTCGCCTTCTTTAATATTTAAAACGACGACTATTGCAGTAAATGAATGTAAATAACCTTCGTTCAGTGTAAGTGGATTCTAAATATGAATTACAAATCTATCACTAATATTTCAAAGAGAGCACAATATTAAAAACTTCCTATAAGACAATTTATTTAAATTAATTTATAAAAAAGAAAAATAGTAGTAAATACTTTTAAGATGAAAATGGAGGAAAATCTTGGACTGAAATTTGTTTGAAAAATAATTTCATTTTATTTATAAAGAGCAAAATTGAAAAATATATTTAAAAAAAGAACTATATTAATTGGAATATTTTTTTGCATACATCATAAAATTTGTAAAATTTTTTTTAAGAACTGCATGAATTTTCCTTCTTGTTTGCTTATTATCTGGGGTTCATAGGTGTCAAAAAGCGAAGTTTCGCGTTGCCTGGAGTCTTCCGTAAGCTTTCCCTTTCGATCCGTCTCCAAAGACTGCTTGTTTTCGCGTGAGAAAGGGGGGGTCAAAAGGCTTCGGGAATCAGTCATCTGAATGTATCGGGCTGAGAAATTTCACGCGCCCCAGATCGCCGATGGTCGCCCCGAAGATGCAGTTTGAAAACACCTGGAGGTCAGTCACGCATGGCTGCTCGCTGCCGGTTAGAGTACTCCTAAGCGAGTTTTATGGCCTCCATCAAGAATCATAGAAAATTGATCTGATTTTCTGTCTGGGACCAGATGGAGAGTTAGTGCGTAGAAAATATTTCATGATACGGAAATAAAGGGAATTAAAATATTTGTTCTGATATAAAATAAATACGAAAAGAGATGTGAGGGGAAAAACTTAAATAACACTTCAATTAATTAACTCCTAGGAAACATTGTGATTGAGAATGCATTTTTTTATATATCGTTAAAAATAAAAAAATGGTCTTAGGTCATTCTAAATATCGATAAAAATAATTTATGTATATTTTTGTATTTTTTAAAGAATAGAAACTATACAAATAAATGTAAAACGTGATATTTCATTTAATAAATTGTGAAAAATCAGAAATAATTAAAATACTCGAGAAAAGTCTTATTAAAACATTAGATTAAATAAATATTTGCAAATTTTGTTTATCAGAGAAAATAATTCTCTTCAGCATACAAGTACGAGGAGACAATCCGCTAGTCACAGCCGCCCCCAACTTCGCATTCGTAATTATGAATCGCGGCACATATAGTTAACGTGTAGGCAGCTGGAATCCCCCGGAATTCGAGGAAGTGGCAGTTTCTGGAAACGAGCGCGGAGACTTGAATGCGCGTCAGGTGCGAAGCTGCGAGGGCGGGCGGGTCGGGCGGTGCGGGGCCGGGATCGTTGACCGCGAACGGCCGCTCCGCGACGCAGCAGGATACTTAACGGCGCCAACGCGGCTCCTCCGCAGAAAAGGGACTATGCGCACCTCTTGCGAACTCTGGGGAGGGATCGCCGCACTAATACACCGTTACCTCGCGTTTCGAGTTTTATTGCTCCGATATTCACAAAAATGCAGTTGGCAGGAGCAGTATTTTATGTAAGGCGAGTTTTGTGCAGGAAGATTCCAGTCTACACATACGCGTATTGCTTGCAATAAAATAAGTCGGCTCTATATTTAAGCAGAAAGTGAAATATATATTTTATACTTTAGATATTGCTTACAGTGATATTGTGAGAAAAAGTCTGATTTCACTGAAAGGTTTTAATGGACTGTTGGGCCTTGCAGACTGCATTTAGAATTCAGATTTGAGCTTATATTTAGAAATTCTCACTCGCGATTTACATGCGAATATAAAGGGACAGGTGATTCAGAGGATCAACTGATGTCTCTGCAGTGTCTCTGACCGGGAGATCCTACGTTCGAGTCCGGACGGTGGCACGATTTTCAACACTAGTTACATAGCTAGGTCGAGTTCAGTCGCCGACTGGAGGAACATTCTAGCGGCCGGCTTGTTTGATCGGAAGTTTTCCGTGGTTTATTCAATCAACACCAGGCGAATGCTGGAGCAGCACTCTAGCAAACAGGCCAATGACTGCGCGCGATCTTTGCTTCCCCTTTATTGTCCTGTTCTTGTCATTACTTGCATTCACACACTTATGGTCACATGGACTACACTACCACATATTACGGGAAACCGGTTGGGATCTTAGAGCTTGTTCCGGCTGGGCCGGTGCCTCGCAAGTGGGAGATACCTGGTGGCGGTAAACTTAGTAAGCGGATCTTGCCATCCAGCGAGGGGAAGATCACTATCACAGCCGAGCTAAAACATGCACTACACTTACGGGATCGATGACATTATCATTTGACGCGCCTGGAGTCACTTATCAATTAATCAATTTATCAATCAATATGAATATATTAACGCATATTATAATAAATGAAAGACGCATATGCTAATTGTTTCCACTTGTTAGATCAATTGTTTTTACATTATACTATGAATACATTATCAAGTGAGTGGAGTTAAAATGCTGATAAACAATATGAAAAATAAAGTTAATATGTGCATAGAATCTTTCCTTTGTTATTTCAGCGCCATCCACCATCCGTCCCACCGCCTTATCAACCTCCGCGGGTGCAACATGACCAGCCTGGGCGTCCGCCGGTGAGCACCGCAGCGCTGGGGCCCGAGGATTACGGGCGCTACGCAGCCCCGTTCATTCTGGCCTACCCGATGGTCCCGTGGACCGCCGGAGGCTGGAAGGGAAACTCACCACCGCTGGCGCCTCCGCCCCTGCAGCAGGCCAACGGCGACCCTCGACCGCAGGAACACAACGTCCCCCGTCCTCAGCAATACCCTCCGCCGTCCACGCTCTTGCAAGCAATCACCACCACCCCACCCTCACCGCACCCTGGCTTCGACACACGCTCGAAGGAGGTCACCACGACATCCCCTCCGTACCCTGACAACGTCATGCGTTCGGAGAAACTCATTACCACTTCGCCCCCGCAGCACCCGGATTTGGAAACTCACTCCGCGACATCGGAGACGCTTCAGACCTTCTAGGAGCGTCGGATCGTCTCTCTCGGTCGGAGAAACTTCCCGCAAACGCGGCCCCTTCGTTCCCTAAGCGAGTTCGAATAACTCAGATTCCACGCAACCTCAGATACATGTTTCCAGGTTACCACTTTGCAGAGCGCGCGGAGATCACAGTGGATCCAGCCCGGTGCCTTAAGTACGAATCCGCGTGCTGTTAACTGCGTATACCAAGATAGTGTCCTTTGACAAGTCCGTTTTATTGATTATTTCAGTATTCTTTCAGCTCTCTCCTTTGTTGTCATATCATTTAAATAACCATACCTATTTTACCACACTAGGTTAATAATTAATATTACAATTTTAAAATTGTTAATATGTTACGTGAAATTCAATAAATTGTACAAAGGTATATTATTGTACAATAAACTACTTAGTTGTTTTATTTCCTCCTTTCCTATACATCCTAGTAAAAGGGATATGTTTAATAATTGACATAATAATATTTATGATTTAATAATTCAATGAGCCATAGACAATTATTTTGTTTGTCAATAAAGAATATATATTGTTTAAAAGAATATTTCAGTCTGTAGGAGCATTTAAGATATAATAAAATCAAATCACTACGTTATTGCTCCAAAAATTAACAAAATCAAACATCATCTTTTCAAAGAATGGAAATTACATTATTAACCGAAATTGATATTATTGCTCAAAATAGTGTATTGTATGGGGAATGTAATGGTTTAATAATCCATTTTTACTTAACATTTTTTAAATAGCCAAATCCAGTGCTTAGACTACTAGAAGTACAGGGACGTGTTGTGTATTGCATATCTTGCAGGGGCGAACTGCATTATCAAACTTGTTTTGATTTTTTTAATTTCCAAATTTGGATTGTAAGCGTGTGAAAGTGTATGGCATACGGTAATTATTCACGATAAAAAAGTAATTAGGATATGCATGATGTGGGTAATCTGTTACTTTTGACAACCAAATAATGTGGCAATTTCTTCGCTACAGTGTTGCTCTTTAGCTTGGATGTGTCGGAGTCTATTCCAAACCGGATCTGCAGGGGTTGCGGGTTCTGGAAAGCAGCCAAGAGGGAGCTTTGCTGTACGTACGTCAAGGTTACGACCCGTATGGAGAAGTCAGAAGAAGAGTCGACGGGGAAATAAAGTTGAATGCAGTGAGAAGTAGGTCTTGAACTATAAAATACACAGGTCGCGTATAATGAACACATATGGTGTCAAATTAAATTCCGGCTGTTACTATGTGTATCTAAGCATATGTTAACAAATATCTAACGTTCTACAAAAAATAAGTTTGATTTGTTTCTAGGTACATTCATTAGTTCCCAAAGATTTTTATTGAAACGAATGTTAAATGTAAATTCTTAGAACTGAGCTAGATGAGTTAAGAGCAACAGCAAACACAACATGCAAAATATATATGTAAAACGTACAATCACTTTAATCGACTGGTAGATTCCTTCACCGCGTTGGAGCTCTGGAAAAATAAAATAAAAGTATACGCGGTAATGAAGAGAGAGCGCGACAAATAAACAAGTGCCCTAACGAACGAGGAAGCAGCTAGCGCCGTGAGAATCGCGCAGCATTTCGACATATTCGCCGAACGTCGCGGACCCGCGGCGGTTGGGGGGCGGCGCGGTCCGGGCGCTGACCCCTGGCGCCAAGGAAGCTGTAAATATCGGGCCGCAGCCAGAGCGACCGGTGGCGCAAACGCGCACGCCGCAAGGTCAAGGGAAACGCCGGCGGCGGCTTTTTACGCGTCAACGCATTCCAGGAGCCGCGCGCTGGCCGCCGACCAAGTGTCGGTCGCGAGACGCCGAGCGCCGCCCCGCAGTGGGCCGCGACAAAAAGCAAGCGCACACTGGTGATTATTGTGATCATTAACGCAATCGCCCTTCCTGCCAGGTATCAGCGTCAATGTCTAGGTCTCGTGGCCTGTTCTGATTCGACAACGCAGAGATTGGCTCAATCTCAATCATGGAATCTTTGAAGCTCTTAGGAAAAAAACTTTGCCTTTGGAAATCAAATTAAGTGAAGTTTATTTTGAAAACAACAACCATTATAATATCTAACGTTTGCCAACCAAAACACGGTGTAGAATTCCATGCAACATTGAGAACATTCCACTGCATCATGTTTAGACACCAGTTCCATAGTTTTTATTTTTTTAAATGCCTCTAAATCGGATGATTATTGCAGCTCTTTTAGATTATTTTGATTGATTGACTACTAATTCCTTTCGCGTCAACTTCTTCGGTAATTGGTTCCATAATTAGTCTCGTAACTCCCGCAAATATTTGGCAGGAACATGTATGTGTGTATGTACGTAAGGGGTAGGATATGACAAGGAATGGAAAGAAAAGTCGCGCGCGGTCCGTAACTCGTTTGTTAGGATTCTGCTCCGGGTGTAGCATTTGCCTGATATTGATCGGGGAAAGCACGGCAAACTACCGATCAGAGCAGCCGGGCACAAGAATTCTCCTCCAGACAGTTCCAAAACTCGATCTAGTGATGTTGCTAGTGTTAAAAATCCTGTCACCGTTGGATCTCGAACCTAGAACCTTTCGGTCAGAGGCACTGCAGTGACATCAGTTGACGATCTGAGCAACTGCTCCCGGGTTATTTGGATTTCTTACACGAAAAAGTTTAATACTGCATATCGATTAGTCCATTAAAAATTTGGCTAAATATTTGATGCAGAGGGAAGAATTGATCTTTGTTAAGAACTTTGCGAAAAAAACAATATTTTTCCCCTGTTTGGTTAACAGAGTTATTTCAAATATCTTGGATGGCAAAAAATCAAACAATTTATCGATTGATCAATGAATCGATAAATTTAATTTTAAGGAGTTCGTAGGAGCAGGAAGGGTTCTCCGCATCCGCCCCCGCGCTTTGCCTGAGGAGAGCCAAAGTGGTGCGCATTGGGTTTGGACGCGGGCATTTCTTACGCAAATAATAAAAATAATCTCTCATATAAATAAAAATGAAACAACATAAAATTAATACGTTCCGGTTTCATACGTCAACGTTTCTCAAGGCTTCTTTGTACTTTCAACATTTAGTAGAATTCTCAAGGTGAGAGATGCTTAAATGTCACTTACTGCAATATTTGCATATAAGATGAAAATATAAATTCGTTTATATAGTGTGATTTTTGAGGTTCAATGTAATGACATTGAAAACAGAATAATTAATTTACCCATTTAGCGTGATAAAGGAAACACAGGTGCAGTTGAAAAGTTCTCTCTTTCACCACCACCACCACCACCACCACCACCACCAACAACAACAACAACAACAACAACAATAATAATAATAAAAATAATAATAATACTGTATCAGGAACAACTGATTTAAATTTACTAAGTTCATAACTTCATTGAAATTGGTGAGTGCGTGTTTATTTCCGCACGCATCAACTTGGATCACTAGTGTAGTAGTGTAGTGTACACCGAAAGTGTAGTGCTTGTTTTATCTCTGAACGTTTCTTTCTCCCACTGTTACGTGAGATCATTTAAATTTAGTTTGAATCAAATAACCAAACTAAACTGTCAAAAAATTAATATAATAAAATAAAATGACAAAAAGACCAAAGAACGACAAACATTAAAACATTTTGTATGTTTGTTTGTATATTTTGTATGTTTGCATTTAGCTGTTACATGTCCCGTAAAGAGCAATTGGCCTCGGCGCTGTTAGATTCAGGGGTTTCTAGTGTCTTCCCACAGGAACACGCAATGTCTCGAATTCGCTGAACCTTCGTGACTTCACGTAGTTAACACTCGCGACATCAGTTTCGCGGTAGTGGCCTTTCAGAAGAACCATCCTAGCATTCGCCTGGATGGCCGAGGATAAACAGGAAAACCTCGATCAGAATGGCTGGTGTGGGTATTGAACCGTGCTTCCGGAATGCAAAGTCAGCGGCTATGTCTTCAGCCACTTCGCTTGTAAGAGAACGTTAAGTTTATTTAATAATAAGAAAATATGTTTTCCAATAGAAAATGTTAAAATCTGTGATATGACCATTTAAAAGTGAACCATATTTTGTCTTGGGAGACAAGGCATTTTGATATGCTGTTCCTCATACTCTTCCGAGGGGCTTTTTGATCTGCCGTCTTAAATCCTCGAAACTATTTATGACTCGTATTATTCAGTTTTTTCATAGCTTCACATTGGTCTCCCCCGTTAAGGGAATAGATCTTATCCCTTTATTTATGGGCGACGTTATGCTCATTTTGGACCAGTGAGCACCCTGGCGGTATGCGAAGGCGTCGACTGCTTGACGACTTGGCAGGAGAACCAATCTCCAGCTTTGCTTTCACTCTGTTCTGCACTGACTTGTCGAATAGCGCTTGGATCTGCGTGGCATGTACGACTTGAACCCTTACCTACAAACCGGGTCGCGTAGACTTTCTTTGTCTAGAAAATAATTGACGTGGCGTGATTTTTGTAACTTTCCATTTTGTACATGTTAGAATTTACGTTTTATTTGCCAATTTTCCATGGAGATTTTAATGCGGTGTTCTTAAGAAACGAACTTTTTCTTGATTATTTAATAACTGAAATGAAAAAGTTTTTGCAAAACAAAAATAACTTGATGAAGCTGCTATCATTTCTTCATCAATGCTTAAATTCGATGGGTTCATAGACGATTCCGATATATTTAAATTAAAGTTAATGACAAAACACGCTAACATTAAAAGCAAATCGAGTTTTCTTTTCCGTGTTGCAAAGTTCATTGACTTTCCACAGAATTGGCAAAAATGCTTGCTCACACGGGGAAGCCTGTTCAGCACGCAAGCTGCGGTCGGCCGCCGTCTAAAAACAACCATTTGATAAGTACGGGGCTGGAGCATCTCTCATTGGCGCGACGGCAAAATATAAACCCGAGCAAGAGCAAGAAGCAACAAAACAAGAAATCTGACAACTGTGCATGTGCACCGTAATCTTGAACGTCTGACCTTCGCGTCCATTGAGGCTGGCCGGGGAGGAGGGAAGCCGAATCGGCCGCACGGCGAGGCGAGGCGAGGCGAGGCAGCGGTGGGTCCAGCAGGAGGTGCGGCGGGGCGGCGGCGGGGCGGGCGAGCCAGTTGCCAGTGGGACTGGAAAGCCGGACGGCCACGATCCGCGCCGCCGCGCCGTCGCCGCCACCGCCGCCGCCGCCGCCATGTCGAGACCTGCGCTGCTGGCTGCTGCTGCCGCTGCTTTTGGCCGATGTGTGGGCCGCGCCCCTCACCCAAGTGAGTGTCCGCCCTACGCAAAGGTACGGCGCACTTGCGCCTAGCAACCGCTAAACCGAGAGCAGAGTTTAAAATAGTGTAGAAGTTGGGGATGGTTCACTTCAGGCGCGGTGATTTACTGCGAAACAACAAACTGTGCCAACATCCAATACTTTACAAACTACTCTTTACAAAACAGACTATGTATATAACTAAGTATTTTAGCTCAAATTCAGTTATCTCTTATCCTGAGTTGGGGGGATGTATATTAAATATTATACATGTTTTATTGATTTTGAATAACACCTCAGCTTATTTTGTAAAATACTTTTACACTACATCTGTTAATGCATAATTTATTGTTAAGTTTATTAAGTTTACACAAGCAATTTATATTTTAATATTTCTGTATAGAATCTGACATTATTTTCTAATAATATTTTGAAGGATTTTTAATTTATTTTCCTCTTTGAATTTTTTTGTCTGTTCTCATGACACTATTCTGATCACATGTTTAAACAATAATACAATTTTAACTTGCTAATGTAAGCTTAAAATTAAAAAAGCAAATGGATGATGGGTGATTATTAGAGATTCGACTTGATCGTTATCGTTTTGCTATCAGACACTTTACCACTGCTTTGAACTACCAACATTCAAATAAAATACGAGATTAAAATGAGAAATCGCAACCTGGCCTCGGTGGCATAGATAATTAAGGCACCTACTAAGAATCATTTCTAATGATTGACTTGTATAATATATATATTAATTATTCTCTTGTCTAAATAAATAGCTACGTCAAATGAACCTTATTTGGAAATGCCAAATTTCTGATTTTAATTAAAGCGCTTCGCAGCAGCATATTTTCTATAACATAATCTTTTAAGAATACATTAGACAAGATACAATTCTTGAATGATTTTCTTGATTAATCTCATTCTGAAGTGACAGGAAATGTTGAGAGGGAGAGTATAGAGAAGAAGAGAAGAGAGAGAGAGGAGGAGAGGGGGAGGGAGGAGGGAGGGGGAGGGGGGGAGGAGGAGGGGGGAGGGAGGGAAACGATAACGCGTAATGGCCTATTCAGTTAAAACCAAATTGAAATAACAATATAGTTGAATAACAATAAGTTAAATTGTTATTTAAAGAGCAGCAATTCAATAAAATTTATTGAAAAACAATTACATAGATGATTATATTTATAATTAATCAATGATCAGAAGATTAAATTGTAATGAATCTCACAAATTAAAAACGTCAAGAACATTCTAAGAGAATTGATTTCATAATCTGAAAAAAAATATTGCTAAAACCCTGTAAACGCATCTGTAAAAACATATTAATCTTTAATAGCGTTGTATTTTGTAATCATAAGAAATATATAATTCCTTTTTTAAAGTTTATTTACATCGCTGTGGTAACTGCGTGGTCATAGTGAAAATCAAACTTAATTTACAACATTACATTAAATTATATTTACGCTAATTCAATATATGATCATTATTCCATTGTACAAAACTCGTATTTGATAAAATATTGTTTCTAATTGAAATTTTGCAAACAAGATTAATAGAAAATTTAAAGTATACTTTGGCAATAAAACGTGCCCACTTTCTTTGTAGATACGATCAAAGGCAAGACGGCGAGTTTAACGTCCACGCCCACCCTCGAAAATTCGTCATCCTGCTGATCCCGGGGGGCGGCGGCGGGCTGCTGAACATCGCCGCCAGATCGCGCCGGGGGCAAGCACCACGGGGGAAGCACGTGAAGGGGTCGGCGGAGGGAACGGCGCGCCACCGGCGGAGGAGGTCGCCATGGGCGCTGCCGGTGGGCGCTCAAGTCCCCGCCCTAAAGGTGGACATCGACGCCGACCGGCGCGTCGCCATCGTCCTGTCCATCACCGCGCCTCGCGTCGCCAGCGAGGAGCAGCACGAGGTGGTGATCGCCGAGTCGCCCGCCGTCACCATCAGCAAGGCGCAGCCGCCGGCGCCCGCAGCTGGAGGCGAAGAAGCCCGACGCCGCGCCCGAAGACCGCCGGCACAACCCGAGCCGCCCGCGAAGGCGGAGGAGCAGGGCGAAGCCGGAGACAAGCCCGCGAAGGCCCGCGACGAGCCGAGCGCGCCCTCGGAAAAGCCGCAAGGCGGCCCGCCCCGCCCCCGCCCGCCCCGCCCGCCTGCTCCCGCCAAGCCCGTTTCCGAGCCCTCCGCCACAAGCCCATTAGAAAACGGCCGTAGCCCCCGCGGCGCCCGCCGCCTCTGCCGCCGCCGCACCTGCAGCCGGCCGCCCGCAGCCGCCTCCACCGCCCCGCCGACCAGAAGGAAGCTGCGGCGGCCAGCGAAGCGGAACGCCGCGGAGCCTGCCAAACCCGCCGCCGCCGCCGCCGCGCCCGCCCGCGCCCGCCCCGCCCCCGGCGGCCGAGCAGGCGCCGCCCCAAGGCAAGTGGCGCAGGAGGGCAGTCGCGCGCCGCGCGCCTGGAGGCTGCTGCGCACGGGGCTTGGTGGCTTCCGCGGGGGCCTGCGCGCCGCACGAGGTGCGCGACGGCCGCTGCGCGCGCGCCCTGCAGCCCGCCAGGTGCGTACCCCGGGCGCACGCCCATGCTGCGGTTAACTACCTTTCACATCTGGATCAGCCACAGACACTCCATTATCATCGACATTACTAGCGTTATTTTACATTATTTTTGGTAAACTAGGCTTAGTATATTAATATTTCAGGACCGACAACGCCCACCTTCCTATATTGCCACCATTACTGTTCTTCATACCTGAATCAATAATATACTGTTCATTACGTTACACATTTTCATTACAATCATTACATCATTTGCCGTAACCCAAGCCTAATATCATAACAAGGTACGTACGGCCGACCACGCCCACCTTCCACACTCTCAGCATTACCACCCTTAAAATCTGGATCATTGATAAACATTCCATTACCATCGTTATTACTGTCATCTTTTTAAAATGCACATAATTAATCTCAGCATAATTTTCTTTGACCTTAGTAAAATATCTTCTCAAGATGCATACGACCCTTTACGCCAACCTTTCAATATTGCCATCGTACCCATTCCTTAATATCTGATTAACTGATGTACTCTTATTTACCATCGTCATTCCTATCGACATTTTACATCATTTTAATCTCAGCATTATCCTTAACATCTGAATCATTAATTTCAATGTAATTATCATCGTCGTTACTAGTATCACTTTACAATCCTTGTTATTAATCGCAGCTTGATTTTCGTTAAACTCATCATAGTACGAAATCAAGGAGCGTAGGGCCGATGACGACCACACTGCTATCATTAACATTGCATTGTTAACAGAGGTATCATCAGCATTTTTATTATTGCTGTCATTATTTACCTCAGTATAATTTCGTTAACCTCAACATAAAATCAGATGAAAAACATTATTATTGAAATTTGCATTATTATTACAATGTACATTAACGTTGGCAGTAATTCTGGCATCACATCCACTGTTTAATTTTTATTTATTGTCCGATTAATTTGTTTAACGTTAAAAACTGTTAAAACTGTATCTACGTATGGGGCAAAAGACAAGTTGCCTTCTATTTTTACATTTTAAAAATTAATTAGACTATATCGTCAGTGTGTGAGATCCCCAACGCTATTATTGAAAAATAATCTTTGCTTGATCATTCAATGTGTTTTATGGGAATACGTCAGAACAGTAGACGTAAATGTATTAGAAGAGTAGGTGGAATGGTCTTCTGATGGAAAGATATTAACCTATTCGCTTACTCAATACTTTTGCGATCGTCAGAGGACAATAATTTCTTTACTATTGTTATATTCAATGCAAGTACCCCTGAATGCGTTACATTGTTAAAAATAGTTAATTCATTAAACTGATGTGCGCGTAGGTTATTAATAATTATAATAGCGTAAACTCTCAATCTATCGTCGCTTCTAAGCAGTAGTCGATATGTCACATTAAAGTACAGTCCGTTTATCGAGAAAATTGTTATAAAATATTAAAAAAATATAATAGTGGAAAATTTCAGAAAATGTCACTGGAAACTGGAAAAAAAATAGATCTCATACTCTAGCTGATTTAGTTGATTTTTAGAGACACTTGTAAATACGTCTTTCAAGAGCACACTACATTATAAATATTTGCAAACTATTTTTTTATGTCAGTTTGATATTTTATCGGTCTCCTCCATTCTAAATAGCAACTAATGCAATTTCTATGCTTATTTAAAGGAATTTAGGAGATTTAACACCTAAAATAAAGTATTTCGATTGTTATATTCTTGTATTATTTTAAGGTTTGGCTGTGTTATTGAGTTTCATTTGATTAATGTAGCAGATTAGTCAAGAAAAATAACAGAAAAACTTTCATTGGGCTATTTTCAATTCCGACTCAGCTATCTGCCTAAAAAGTTATCTCACTTTACTCGTCTGTCCTCAATAATTACCTATGCATCGCATTACCAAGTGGAAGAACTTGATTTTGAGGTGCGGAAGCGCTTGCGAAAGCGAATCACATGTGATCCACCTGGCAGGCCCTTAATGCAAATGAGCGACAAGAGAATTAGGGCGGACGACACGGCATTCATGATGTTTTGATGACTCAGTGAAATAACTAGTAGTCAGATTGCGAATGATAGTAAAAGAAAGAACGAAACGAAACAGCGTGTACTAAGAATGACGGGGAAAAATGTATTACAGCAAGATACCTATGTTGCAGAAATCTCGAATTTAAAATAAATGCATCTTGATTCGATATGTGACAATGGCATCAGTTGGTACAGTCCAGTAAACATGAATAAACCTAATGGATGCTGAGAAACGTCTAAACATTAAATTATTTACCGACGTGCCATAAATCGAGGAGTGAAGCTGCTCACTTTCCTTAAAACAAAAGCCAACGGAGAAAGCTCTCACTGACGGTACTAAAAGCCACAAAGACCTGCAGAAAATTACCCGTTTTTTCTGTAGCAAAAAGTAAAGAATACTCAAATAAAATGGATATAAAACCACTAATCCAGAAAAAATAAAATGATCAGTAAAAACTTGTTCTCATCTGTAGAAGGTTTAGAGAAAATGAGTACAGGAAACCTATTTATTTCCTGTTGATCTTATTTATATGTTTCTAAAAACAAGACTCTTAATTGAATATAAAATTCATTTTTACTTAAATAAAAGAAATACATTTAAATAAGTTCATTTTTGATACTCTCAAAATAAATATCTCATCACAGTAAAATATAGAATTGTGGCGATAGTATTAATACATTTCAACAACTATATTTTGTACTCGGAATTGATGACCAAGAGATCTTTAAAACTTTTATTCAACTCGTCAATATTATTGCACATTTGTCAGTAAGAAGCATTTGGTATGCAATTATTAAAATATTTTACAATCTTTGCAAACGTGTGGTTTGTCATATACGTGACCCGGTAGTTCATCTACCATGTACATTAATCTTGCCTTTCACTCACATATTCTTAGTACAAAACTTTCTACTTTACAGGGACATGACTTCGCGAAACTTTCTTGCTTTGGCCTACCCACTTCCATAAAGTATACGCCGCTTTAATGTACACACGTTCATTACTGCAATATCAAAGGCGGAAGAAGAAAGATGCGAATCAGTTGATCCGGAGAGGCTTTTATGAAAGCAAGCGTAATAACATGTTTCTCAGTATTTTTGATTCCTTCTAGATGAAAGGATCTGAAAATGCATTGTAGCTTTCTCGCCAGGGTTAGAATAAAATTTAGAGACGACAAGGAAAGAGGGATTTGTTAAAAAATTACGTGGCAAATATTTGTATTCGTGGTACGAAAAATGAACTGACTGAAGATCACAATCATTGATGTAAGCGAAAATTCGAAATCTTGTTAGAATGGATCACATAAATCAGAGCTCGAGTGCAAGTTTGTTTGCTGTTGAACTTTGTCACTCTCCCTTAGATTAGCGTTAATAGAAAATTATGACGTATCGGTTGGAGAATAAAATTATAAGTGTACGGCAGAAGAGGGAGTGTGGGTTAACGGCAGCATGCTCGTTTGCACACGTTTTCGTAGAAAGTGTGCAATTAACTGTTCGTGCGCGAGACGACATGGGAACGCCCTGCAGGCCGCCCTGGTCACCTAAAAGAGGCGTGCGTGAAGTTAATAAGTGCCATCTTCAGAGCGAGACTACCCTAAGCGTGGAGAAATGGGCTAAGTGGCTTCCACCCATTTTCTAGAAATGTGCTCTTTCCCTCACACCCTTTTCTTTCTCGTGTTTAGATTTTCGAATTTAAAAAAAATCAGCATTATTATCTCCCAATGTACAACAAATTATTTTTATGATAAAATTAAACCACAAGGCGTTATCACAAAAGGCACGTTTAATA